AGATGAGAAAGGAAAGAAATCACCATAGAAAAAAACTAGTGGAGAGACTAAGGATTAGCAAGCATAGGAAAACTCCCAGCACAATTTAAAAAAAAAAAACAGGGCTAGAGAATGCCAAGAAACAATTCCAGAAGAGAATGTCTGTAATCATTGCAATTAGAACCCCAGATAAGAGGACAGAATGGCCCCAAGAATCCAGGGAGTAGTTGGAAGGTCTAATAAAGAAACTGAAGGAAAAGCTAGGGTATGAAATTAGAGCTCAATGAAAAACTCAAAAGGAAAGTATATGGCTTAAATTGAAAGCTAGAAAATGTCAGCAAGGCAGTAGACAACCTGTAACACAAGAGACAGAATTTAAAATTCTAATGCTATAGAGAGAAATAACAAAGAACTAATTTTTATTTGGCCAGTTAATGTTTGTAAGCCTTAACCCTTCATGATCTAAAATTCTCTCTCTACTTTACATACACATATTACCTCATTTTATCCTCACAACTTTCTATCTTAACTACAGAAATGTAGGTGCTTAAATTTTTTTTTGTGCTAGGTAATGGGGTTAAGTGACTTGCCCAGGGTCACACAGCTAGTTAAGTGTCACGTGTCTGAGGCCGGATTTGAACTCAAAGTCCTCCTGACTCCAGGACTGGTGCTCTAACCATTGCACCACCTCGCTGTCCCATAAATGTATTTAAAATGAATGAATTAGTGACTTCCCTTATGGAATACTTTACTCAGATGAGTCAGATCCAACCCTCTCATTTCAAAGAGGAGGAAACGGGGCAGCTAGGTGGCACAGTGCATAGAGCAACCACCCTGGAGGCAGAAGGACCTGAGTTCAAATCTGGCCTAAGACACCTAGCTGTGTGACCCTACCCCAATTGCCTCACCCAAACAAAAAAAATCAAAGAGGAAGAAACTAAAGCCCAGAGAAGGATTTGGTACTGGTCCAAATTGGGCCTGGAGATCACACCATTATGCGATCCTGCCACATGTTCCAACCCAGGTTTTTCCTGATTCCAAGTCCAAATCCAAAGAACTCATGAGATACATACCTACAGTAAAAAATAATGACTCTGAACACAGGTCTCAACGAGGTCATCTAAGAATCACTGGTTTCCCAGAAAAATATAATGAAAGAAAAAATTATATTTCTAAGCATCATTAAAAAAATTGACTGGAACTTCATGAGAAGCACCAAGGAAATGCAATCACTAAGCTCCAGAACTTCTGGGCCAAAGAGAAAATATTTCAAGGAGTAGGGAGATGTTTTTTATTGCCTGTGAAGTAACTGTCATCAGAATCAGGAACTACTCATTAGGAAGGGGAGAAAAAAAAAAGATTGGAATATGATATAGCAAAAAGTAAAGGAGAATGGCTGACATTCAATGATAATTTATCTCGGGAATGTGAGCATAATCCTACAAGAAAAAAAATGGACTTTTACTATAATTCATACCTGGCAAGCATCCTTTGAGGAAAAGAGAGTTGGGTAGTGCCTTTGAAATGTAGACAAAGGAAACAAAAGGAATTTAAGGTAAATGCGTCTGAAAGCTAGATGTGGATCCCGAGTTTACATTCTGAAAGCAAGAAAAATATTTTTTCTGCCTAGTCTAAAAGACAATAAAGAAATAGAGACAAATTCTAGGATTGGGTGTTAGGAAATATCCCAATAACAATAATAGCTAACATTTATGTAGGTTTCTAGGTTATCTCATTTGTTTCCCACAATAAAATTTAAGATAGGTGCTATAATTATTCTCCTTTTACAGATGAGAAAACAGGCTGAGAGAGGTTAAGTGACTTGCCAGAGTCAGACAGCTAATAGGTGTCTGAGGTAGGATTTGAATTCAGATCTTGCTAACTCTAGGTCCAGTGCTCCATTAACTAGCTGTCTATTAGACTGAGGATTCTTAAACTTTTTTGTGTTATGGACCTCTTTGGCAGTCTGAAAAAACTTATGATCACCTTTCAGCAATATGTTTTTAAATACATAAAATAAAATATGCAGGATTATAAAGGAAATCAAGTATATTAGAATAGTTTTCATGATATTTTTAAAATGCAAGGTCAGAGAAAAAGAGAAGAGGAGGGGGACTTGCCCAGGGTCACACAGCTAGCTAGTAAACCACCTAGCTGTCCCTTTGTTTTTTGTTTGCTTGTTTTGATTTATTGTAATTGAGATCCCACTGATGAAGATCCTTCCAAAACAGAAGTGGTGGGGGCAGAGAGAAAAACAAATCATAGAAACTAATATTAAAAAAAAAAAACAACAAAGAAAAAAAAAGAACCAAAAGCAATGAAAAACACCCAAAGATGCAGCTATCTGAAGAAATGAAAAAGACAAATTTATCCTTTAATAAACACCAAACCATTTTATTGCCATTAAGTCTAAATGTATTCTATCCAATATTCTCAATTCAACTATCAACTAAATTATCCATAGCTAATAACTGCTTCTGTTACCCAGGCAAAAGAAGGCGCTTCTCTTCAGTTTGAAAAACATAGCCCCATACAAAGAATTTACTAAAATAAAAAAGTCTATTCCCTTAAATTCTGCTTTTTGTGTTTGTTTCTCCTCAGTCTGAATAACATTAAAATAAAAGTCAAATCCCAAAAAAATTTAAAAATTAAAAAAATATATCCATCTTTCTTTTTTCACATTGTGCAGTGAGAAAACATTTTAACAAGCATGGGAATAAATTAAATGATATTTCAACACAACTTTGAGCTCTGTCGCTTAAATATAAATAATAATACAATCCTTTTTAGAAATATACCCACAAAATTCAAAGGAAATTCTTAAAAGGAAAAGGGTTTAAGTGAAAAAAAAATCTCATGTCTACATGACACAGATAAAGAAATGTACTTCTTCCCACAGTTTAAATGAACAATTAAATAAAACAGCTACCTTTGATTATTACTCATGCATATGTACTTTTCATATCACCCAGTAAGTGATTAAAGCAAGCAAAAACTGAAAAATCCCACTTCAAATGTACCCACATGGCCCAATGCCATCCCAGTAGGTGAAATCAATTCAAAATTCCTTAAACTTTAAATCAAATCTTTTTTCTCTTCTTTCATAAACACAGTACATTTCCTAAACCCATTTCCCTTACCACACAGTACTATAATTCTGCGATACATAAATCATTTTACAGTATACCTTCCTTCTAAATTAGGAAGTTTCTGACCAAAAAAAATATTATATTTTAGCTTGTTTTGCAGAGATCCCAAACTGATGGCTTGAAAGGAAAATAATCTTTTCTTTAATAAAAGGAATTGGGGTATTCAGGGGTAGAAACCCCCCCCCCTTGTGGTAAGTAGTTAACATACCTTTTTAAAATTCCTGTTACATGCTGCAAAAAGATTTATCATCTCTTTATAAACATCCTTAAAAAAAAGTACCTATCCTTAAAAAAAATTACCAATTCAGTTTAAAAACATTCTCTTGATCTCTGCAAAGTCATCAGTGTATTATGAACTCAATAGTTGTTTATTTCTTCCTCTATTAGCCAAAAACTTTTTATCCAGATTCTTTTGCAAAAATCCCATTTTTAGAAAAATTCTTTGCCAGAAAAACCCGTTTTGGCAAATATTTCGCAAAAAGTTTAGCATTGTTCATTAGCATCAAATTGTTCCTGTTATCAGGCATCTCCCCCGACCCCCTAAAAGAAGACATGATATAAAAGAAAAATGGAAGAAAGAAACTGAACTTTCTTTTAAATTTTGATTAGTGCTCTTTAATTTGGGAAGAGAAGCTGGATCACTGTTCTGAAAAGGGAAAAACCTTCAATTTTTTTTTTAACCAATCTAGCTTAAAAACAAATCTTGATCTCAGCAAAGTTACCAGTGTATTATGAATCTGAGTTGTTCATTTTCCCCTTTATTAGCCAGGCAAAATCTCTTTATCCAGATTCTCTTATAAAAATCCTATTTTTAGAAAAATTATTTGCCAGAAAAACCCATTTTGACCAATATTTAGCAAAAACTTTAGCATCATTCATTAGCATTAAACTTCCTGTCATCAGGCATCTGTCCCCTGACCCTCTAAAAGAAGACAACATATATATAAAAAAAAAAAAGTTCAACTTTCTTTCCAATTTTGATTATTGCTCTTTCATTTGCGAAGAAAAGGGTTATCAATCAAAGAAAAAAAAACCTTCCAAAAAAGTTTACCAATCCAGCAAAGTTACCAGTATATTATGAATTTGGTGGTTGTTCATTTTCCCCATTATTAACTAGTCAAAATCTTTTTCTCCAGATTCTCTTATAAAAATCCTATTTTTAGAAAAACAGATTTTGCTAGAAAAACCCATTCCAGCAAATATTTAGCGATAACCTTAGTGTCATTCTTAAATTGTTCCAGTCATTGGATATCTCCTTTGACCCCCTAAAAGATATAATATCAAAGAAAAATGAAAAAAAAATTGCAAGTTTCTTTCCAGTTTTGCCTGTTCCTGTTTAATTTGGAAGAGGGTGTGAAGGACTGTCAATTCAACTGGATTACTGTTTGGAAAAGAAAAAGAAAAAGAGAAATTTTATTTTCTCTTTTAATTCCATTGCTTAAACAAAATACTGCCAAACAAACAAACAAACAAAAAACCCAAACCACCCGGTTTGGGTTGTTTGTGTGTTTTTTTATAGAGATTCCCTTTCCCCTCCTCTCTCAAATATATGAAGAATCATCATAAAAGACTCACAAAGAAGGTAGCAGTACGTTTTGCTAGACAGGCAAAACCCCCTCTTCACTGTTATCTAGACATTCTGTAACTAACAACTATTAAAAAAAACTCCACGCATGTCAAGTGTGCTATTTTGTATTTTTCTAAGCAGGATAAAACCCTTTTCCAGATCAACTTCAAGACCGCCAACACTTTTAAAATTTTGCAAACTAATCAAGGTAAAACTGGTTTACAAAGTCCACTGGTGACAAATGGTACAAAGTTTCTTCTCCTTTTTTCCTGCTTCTTAGCGTACTCTTTTTGGCTTTGCACAATTCAAGCCTTGTGAATTTTGTTGGTCTTAAAGGAAACCTGCAACACACGCCCACCAAGGCGGTAACCATTCAGAAAGGCGATAGCCAAGGCTGCTTCATCATAGCTGGTCATAGTGACGAAGCCAAAACCTTTGCACTTATTGGTGTTGACATCTCGGATGATCTTGACGCTGTTCACTGCTCCAAAGGGCCCGAAAAGCTGCCAAAGGACACTCTCATCAGATTCAGGGGATAAGTTATAGACAAAGATACACCAGCCACTGCCATTGTTGGTGTAGCCTGGGAAGGTGACCAGGCTGGTCATACCAAAAGAGGAGGGTGAGAAGTGCTGGACTCCACAGGTCATGTTGAACAAATTGTCTGGCCCCATTCTCAAGGTCTGAGGCTGTAGCGGCCCCTGGTAGTGCTGGGGAGGCTGACCCAGCAGGCTCTGAGGGGTCTTCTGGGTCTGGTGATGAGCAAACTTAACCGTGAGGGGCTCCACCATACTGCAGGGCTTCTGGCCATTGAGGGCCTTGATGGCTTCCTCAGCCTCTGATTTCATATTAAAGCGGATGAAGCCCACACCCCAGGAGGCCCCACTAACCCTGTCTCTCAGGATTCTTGATGCTACGATGTGCCCAAAGGGAGAGAAGAGCTGTTCTAGCTCCTTCTCTGTCATATCCTTAGGCAGGCCACTGATGTAGAGATTGGCATCTTGGATGGAGGATGAATGGGGCCTACAATAGGCTACCTTAATGGTTTTGGGGGGGCACTGATGCCTGTTCAGCAAGCAGACAGCTTTTTCTGCATCCCTGGGGTCCACATAGTTAATAAAGCCATAGCCTAGGCTCTGGCCGGTCATCTTGTCCCTCATTAATCTGTAAGACCGGATCTTACCCACACTGGCGAACAGGCTGCGGAACTCCTCTTGGGTCATGCTCTGTGGCAGGTAATTGACGATCAGATTGGTCTTGGGTTTACAGGAAGCTGTCAAGGTCCCCTCTGCAGCCCCTGAGGAGGAAGAGGCACCTTCCACTGCAGCAGCATCAGTAATAGTAGGCTGGGGCTCAGGAGTAGCTACAGCTGCTGCTTGGGACTGGACTGAAGCCCCAGCAGGAGTCTGGGCCCGAGCACCCAGGCGGGCTCGAGAAAGGGAAGAGAAAGGAAGAGGAGGCCGAGAAAAGGTAGGAGCCAGACCAGGATAGCGGGCAGAGGCTGGAGCACGGGTCTGGTCAAGGACTGGAGGCTCAGCAACGGCAAAGCCTGGAGCCGGGACAGGAGCTGGAGCCGGAACAGGAGCTGGAGCCGGGACAGGAGCTGGAGCCGGGACAGGAGCTGGAGCCGGGACAGGAGCTGGAGCTGGAGCAGGAGCCAGAGCCCGGACAGGAACAGGATCCAAGGTAGGGGCTGGAACCCGAGACAGCACAGGTGCACGAATGGGGACCCCAAGGCCAAGGGTCAGATTAGCAGCCAGGGTGGGGTCCCAAGCCCGGGCATGGGTCATAGTGGCAGCTAGGGCTGGGACTGGGGCTGGAGCCTGGGTAGAGGCATGACTAGCTGCCAGAGTGGGAACTGGAGCCTGGGTCAGAGTAGCTGCTAGGGTAGGGGCCAGAGCCGGAGCCTGGGCAGAGGCATGTGTCAGATTAATACCCAAGGCAGAGGCCAGGGGCGGAGCCGGAGCCTGCGTAGAGGCATGGGTCAGATTTGCAGCCAAGGCGGGGACCAGGGCCTGAGCCGAAGTCTGGGCAGAGGCATGGGTCAGTTTAGCAGCCAAGGCGGGGACCAGGGCCTCAGCCGAAGTCTGGGCAGAGGCATGGGTCAGATTAGCAGCCAAGGCGGGGACCGGGGCCTGAGCCTGAGCCTGGGCAGAGGCATGGGTCGCATTGGCGGCTAGCATAGGGGAAGGGGCCAGGGGCATCTGGCACAGGGGCAGCTGCAAAGGTGGGGTCTGGCTTTGGACCTGTGTATGGCCACCCGCAGCGGGAGGGAAAGTGCTCGGACCATTGCCAGAGGGCCCGTTGTTGGCGGGCCCAAAAACATTGTCTGTGTGCCCTACGCCGTTGCTTGTGTGGCCGCTGGTGGTCGGTCCCGTGACGGAGGTGGGCCAGTTGGTAGCGAACCCGGCGCTGTAGGAAGTGTGCGCGTTACTAGTGGATTCGGCGGTGCCGTTTGTCTCATTGGGGTTATTGGAGGAGGTACTGAGGCTGCCGGTCACCTCCGGCTCCGCGGTCGGAAGGTTCTTCAGATGCATTTTCTCAGGGCTTGGCTGTATCTACAGCACCCAGGCTAAATGAGGCTGAACCGCCAGACTGGCGGACTGCTGTAAGGCTCTAGAAATCGCCAGGGCAGCAGGCCCAAGTCCAGCGACCTGAGAGCACGTGTGCAGGAGAGGCGGCCTGCATGTGCGGCTCCCAAGACGCCAACAGGGGAGTAAGGCAGCGGCGCGCCCCGTAGCCTTAATAGAACCAAGGGTGGGGCCAGGGGGCGGGGCCACGCAGTTACGCGAGAATAGAGAACAAAGGCGACCCCTGTGTGCGTGAGCTTGGCAACAGTTGCTGCAACATAGGCCAGGGCACGTCGCGAGGGCACGTCGTGAGGGCACGTCGCGAGGGCACGTCGTGAGGGCACGTCGCGAGGGCACGTCGTGAGGGCACGTCGCGAGGGCACGTCGTGGCGCCACGGGGGGCAGAGGGCAGAGAGCAGGGGGCAGAGGGCAGAGGTGGGGGGGTAAGTGGGCAGGGCTGAAAGGGTCTCGCCTGGGGGAGGGGCCAGGGCCCTGGGGCCTCTTAGGCGGGAAAACTTTCTTCAGCTTAGACCTGCAACTGGCGGGCGTCGAATTATTGGAGGGAAATTGTTCTCCCTCAACAATTACACTAAGCAAAGGGGCGACCAAGTAATTGTGCATGCAATTATAAAAAAGTTAGCCACTTGGCAAAGTAATATTTGCAAAAGCAGGAAACGATCTAGCAAGTCCCAAGTGAACTCCAAAAGGAAAAAAAAAAAAACAAAAAACAAAACAAAACATGGATACAACTTTTAAAAAATAAATAGCTTTTATTGTTTTTCTTATTGCTGTGGCTTCCTAAAGACTCCCTCCCACAGAACCTTTCATACCAAATAAGTACAGTGAAGCAAAACAAATCGATCTCCTGGCTTCATAAGCATACCTCATCACGTACCATTCCCCAGCACTACTTTTTTTTTTTTAATTTATTGAGCCTGCGTGTGATACGGTCAGACCTGCACTTTATTTTTTCCTCCCACTTAATACATTTTATTTTTTCCAATTACATGTAAAGATAGTTTTCAACATTCACTTTTATAAGATTTCAGTTCTAAATTTTTTTCTCCTTTCCCTCCCCCCCTCCCCAAGACAGCATGCAATCTGATATAGGCAATACATGTACAATCCTGTTAGACATTTCCACATTAGTCATGTTGTGAAGGAAGAATCTTTAGGGCCACTCTTGAAGTCACAATTGGTCCCTGTGGTGATGGGACTTCTTTCATCTTTCACTGCTGTTTTCCTTTCCCTTATTATAGGAACTAAGTAAATTGTTCTGGATCTGCTTATTTTGCACCAAATTTATTTAATTTATTTATTTATCCTCCCACAAAAATGCAGCTATATAAACATATATGTATATGTGACCTTTCCCTCTCTGACAGCCTTGAAGCGTATGCCTAGTAATGGTATCACTGGATTAAAGGGTATACATTGTTTACAGACTCATAAAATAGAATTTCAAATGGCTTTCCAGCACAGTTGGACCTGCCTCACAGTTTCACTTACAGTACATTAGGGTGCTTTTCTGCCCAAAGCCCCATCACAATTTACTATTTCATCTTTTGTCATGTTCTTCAATCTGATAGGTGTTCTGTGAAACCTCAGTACTTTTAGATTCCATTTGTCTCATTATTAGTGATTAGGAGCATCTGTTTAGATATATGCCTATTTGTATCCTTTGACTGTTTACTGAAGAATGGTTCTTATTCTTATAGCCACACGGATTTAAAAGTGAATTCTATCAAAGCAAATAACTTAAGTGCTACATAAACTGCCTGCAAAAATAGAGGGGAAAAGGTACCCTGCAAAAACTCTGTCTGCAAGATAAATAATGGTCCCAATAACAAAACCAGTGGGAGATTAAGCAGAAAATAAACTATAGCTCTTGGTCATGAATGACAAGTGGCACCAACATTGTAACTGAAAAATGATCAAGGTCACATTGGCTAGTTAGGGGCAGAATTGTGATTAGGAGTCAGTCAATTGGTAAGCATTTATTAAGTGCCTTCTATGTGCCATGCACTGTATAAATGCTAGGGATACAGAGGCAGAAAACAGAACCTACCTTTAAAGGAGCTCACAGTCTCATGGGGAAGAAAAGATACAATTACGTCTGAACAAGATATATACAGGATAAATTGGAGACAATCAATAGAGGGCAGGTAATAGCATTAAGTGGGATCGGAAAAAGAGTCTTGTGGAGGTGTGATTTTATTTTTTTTATTTTTTTTAATTTATTTTTTTCATTGGGCAGTGGGGGTTAAGTGACTTGCCCAGGGTCACACAGCTAGTAAGTGTTATGTGTCTGAGTTCGGATTTGAACTCGGGTCCTCCTGAATCCAGGGAGGTGCTCTATCCATGGAGGTGTGATTTTAGATGGAATTTGACAGAAGCCAGGGAATCCAGGAGGTAGAACTGAGGAGAAAGAATTTCAGGCACAGGGGACAGTGAGTACAAACGTATGGAAATGGGAGATGAGTGTTGTGTGCAAAGAACATCGAGGAGGCCAGAGTCACTGGGTCACAGAGCGTGTTGAGAGAGTAAGGTATGAGAAGATTGGAAATGTGGAGGTAGGCCAAGTTATGAATGGCTTTGAACACCTGAGAATTTTATATTTGATCCTGGAGCCAATAGGGAGCCGCTGGAGTTTATTCAGTAGTGGGATGACATGGTCAGCTCTGCACATTAGGAAGATGACTTTGACAGCTGAGTGAAGCATGGACGAGAGTGAGGAAAGAATTGTGGCAGAGAGACTAACTAGCAGGTTATTGTAATAGTCCAGTCGTGAAGTGAGGGCTTATACCAGGGTGGTGGAAGTTTCACAGGAGAGAAGGGGACACCTAGGAGAGATGTGTTACTAAAGTAAAATTGCCAGCACTTGGCAACAGATTGGATATGGGGGTGGGTGGGTTGAGACAGAGTCAAGGAAGGATGATGCCTGGGTGACTGGGAGGATTGTGGTACCCATGACAGTAAGAGGGAAGTTAGGGAAAGGGGGAAGGGGAAATAAGGGTAAGATGGTTGGGGGAGGGGGGAGATAATGAGTTCAGTTTTGGACATGTTGACTTTAAGGTGTCTAAGGGACATCTGGCTCAAGATATCTAAAAGGCAGTTGGAGATGCTGAACTGGGCTGGATAAATAGATCTGAGAACTGGCTGCATAGAAATAATTGAATCCTTGGGAGCTGATGAGATCACCACATACTGTGATCCTAGCCCTATGTGAGACTCTAGGGAGTCAGAAAAGTCTAAGCCAGCCACTGCCTTCATGGAGCTTACAGTCTAGTTGAGGAGATGTTGAGCATCTAGGACAGTAGTGGGTGTTTGCTAAATCCAGGTTGAAAAAAAGAATCAATATAATCCAATGCTGCCTGGGTGGTACAGACTACAAATACTGTTGGAATTCAGAGAAGGAAAGATCATTGTGATCTGGGACTTTCTGGAGGAGGTGGGTATGATTTAAGGGGGGGCTCAAGTAGGATTGAGACAAACATATAGGAAGAGGAAGAGCATTCCAGGAGGGAAAAACATTTTGCTTCTTGGTTTCTAGTATTATACATAGTACAGATGTGGGTATGGGTGTGTGTGTGTGGGTAGGGTGGATACTTCTATTATCTGACTCATATGATTAGTATTTAAATTAATTTGACATTCATTAAGTGCCCACTATGTGTCAGACAGCTGTGCTAATGCTACAAAGATGAACAATGATAGAGTCCTTGGCCTTAAGGACCTTACAATCTAATGGGGGTGGCGGTGGGGGTGGGGAGTGGGGTATGATGTTTAAAGTTAAGTATATTCTCAAGGAGGAAGAGATAGGGATGGAAAGGAGAATCCAAAGTGCTTAAGGAAGATTGGAGGGCAGAGAGATCATTTTTAAAGGCCAGGCATGGAGGGGGAACTAAGATGGAAAAGTCGTCAGAAGCCATTTGGTGAGCTCCAGTCCACAGACTGTTCCTAACAGATCTGGAAAATGCACCAGAGCAAGTCCTGATAAGGAAATCCAAGTAAGTCACAATGTGTCATTTGTCCAGCCTGGGTATAGATAAACAGACTGGGACTATATACATATACATATACATATACATATACACATATGGATGTATAGGTATGTGTATATATTTATATATTATACAACACAGCATATATACACATGTTATTTAATATATACAGTATATAATATAGATATGTATATATACATATATGTATATACATAGATATATATACTATATGCAGTATGTGTGTGCGTGTATTGTGACAGTCCTCTGGCCTAAAGGAAAGCCTCCTGGGAGGATGTAGGGGTTCCCTTACAGACCCTTGCTTTCTACAACTGGGCTCACAGTGCTACTCTCCCTTAATGGAGGTGCCACTGTCACCAGGTTAAGTCCTTGCCTGGGTACCTACCTAGTTTATGTTCAAGGAAAGGCAGGTGAACCAGCCAGCTAAGTTAGGGAAAACAACCCACTTAATGAGTTCAGCCTTGCCTCACTTAAATCCAATTCACTTGCAAGTCAGCACCTTCCTAATGTCATTGGTCCTCTTTGTGAAAAAAAAAAAAATCTGAAGGACAAATAACAAACAACAATTCTGCTATGAATAACATGTAAAACAATAGGAATCAGTTCTATGCCAAACTTTATTGCAAGCAGTGGGGAGGAAGGGGAAGGGAAAAGGAAAAGGAAGGCCTAGAGCTACAAGTCAGGCACAGACATTGAAATAGAGTGTAACTCATGTAATGGCAGGGCTGCATTGGGGAGTACAGAGACACGAGGCCATTCAGCACGAAGGACCAAAGTGCCCTTTGAAGAGAGGGCTTCTTAAACTCTGACTTTGGGTCCCCCTTCCCTGAAGCTGGTAGAGTTGCATATCAGGGGTCAGGGCAAAATACTGTTTTGGGGGTTTGCACATCAGGGAGAAAAACAAGCTGGTGGTAGATAAAATATTATTTTGGGGACACAGTTGGA